CTCTTGCTCAGGCTGGTCTCGAACTCCTGACCTTTAGCGATCCACCCGCCTCGGCCTCCCAGAGAGCTAGGATTACAGGCTCAAACTAACTTTTAACAGTGGAGACACTAGAAGTCCAAGAAAAACTTACTAGGCTTATTGGTGGATTAAACCATACAAGAAAGCATTGTCAAATGTGAAATGATGTTTAATTTTCTTTGGGTTATATTTATATAAATAGATTATAAATATCTGCCCCAAGGCTGTGTGAGATTCCTGAAGTTCTAGTAGGCCTTGATATATATTATCAATAATAATCATATATACTAAAATTGTGTGCCACAAAAATAACCAAATCTCATGAAAATAAATCTCATAAAATAACCTAAATCTATAATCATGACTGTTGTGAGATCTTTACCATCTGCAGACAGTTACTATTTTATTTTAATTCCTCTTAAACACCAGTTTATAATCAGATGTGGTCCTAGATTTGCTTCTTTAGAAAAATGTCATGGAAAGAACTAAAATATTTTTATGACCTTTTATTTAAAACATTACTAATTTTCTTGCTTTGTTTTCCAAAGCCATTAAAATATTAAGTAAATAACAAAGTTATCTTCAGGATTTAAACTATTAAATTCTGCCTGGCTCAACCATACTCATCCTCTCTAGGCCTAAGGCTTATCACAAAAGGGACGGGTCTATGAGTTTGTAAGAGCGGATTTTGAGCAATGGAATTAATAAATTTGAATCAGTTCCCTGGGGGTCTTATTACCGCCCCCACCTGGTGCCTATCTGCCAACAATAAAAACTCACTGCATGATGTCTTAAAGGGACCACAACATTTACAGCCTAGAGACTAGATTTTACTCCAGGGTTTCCCAGGACAAACGGGAACCCCTTCAAGCTTTTAAATAATTCTGGCTGCATCCGCCTCTACAGCTGAATTTCTGGGAATCCCGTCCTAGAGTCATCTCTCTGGACTCAAACCTACAGACCCTCCAGAACCTGCTTCCACCGACAGCGAACTCCCTGAAAAGTCCAGCCCGTCACAGATACCAGGCTCTGATAATATGCTGTGGAATATACGGCTCCTTATCACGCTTTGCCTCCTCTGTATACTTCTTGTGTCGCTCTATGAATGCCACCATGGCCCAGCCTACCTGCCAGGCTGGTCAGTCCTTTGCCCGCACTGGGAACCCTAATAAGGATAACCTCACTTTCCAGCCCCACTATGGGCGCTCCATGGCATCTCTATCTGCCTACTGTCCAAGAGACCCTCCACCCTCTCAAAACTGTGAACTCTTTTCCCCTGTGTGATCTTAGGTTTCTTGGCTAACGCTCTCATTTTCAAACCCCTCATTCTCTCCTGTCTAGCAACATTTATATGGAACCAAATTCAGGCCCTAACTCTTTCTCTCCAATGAGAGAAGAGTCCCACCCTGCCTCTAATCTAGCTTTCAAGACCATCCATTTTCAACCCCCTCCCTTTTAATAATTCAAATCAACTCCATAAGAATATCTCAGCTCCCCTTCTCAGCTGGAAGTAGCTACAAAAGAAGGACTGCCACCCATTTTCCCTACTTCTTTTTTTTTTTTTTTTTTTT